CACGATTTACAATATACCTAGGATCACGTATTTTTGTCATAAGATGCACTTCGTGCTGTCTTCATGTAAACAACTTAATGTTTTGGTCAATATTTGAGCCGCTTTGTCGTTTTATAACAAAAGACAATAATTTTTATTTGGATTAAACATTATTGTAGACGGAGGGTTGATTTCACTAACGAAGTGTAGTGAAAATAGTTAAGGGGATTTTTCACTATCAGAAAATAGTTGAGGGGATTTTTTTTTATTAAAAACCCTTAATATTATTATAATGTGTTTGAGAAACTCATTGAAACAATGAGCATTAGGCCATCTTTATTCATGAACTTTTGAGGGTATCATTAAATATAAAATTATTAAAAACACAATCTCTCTTCTTTTTACTTAACTTTATACCATCTCTTTCATCATTTTACTCAACTTTTATTAATTTTATACTCTCTTTAAATATAAAATTATTAAAACACACTCTTTTCCCTCTTCAAAAGTATCAACTATTTGATACTCTCTCTCTCCAAAAATACCCACTATCTCTTCTCTTTACTCAAATTTTATTAATTTTATATTTCAATACACCCCATTATTTCACCAAAAACACTCTCTTTCTTCCTTTTATTCAAATTTTAATAATTTTATATTTAATGATATCCACCAAAATTCACCAATAAAAATGCTCTTAGAGGTCCTCTAAAAACACGTACATCTCTTACAAATAAACAAATAAAAAATAATCAAAACAGAGGAGAGAGAATTCATGATCGATTTTTGTTTGAGTAACTTTCGTAAGAGTGTTAGAGACTACACTAACACCTGTGCACTTATGAGTGGTTCAATTTGTTGAAATTTATAATATGATTTATATATATTAAAAAAAACGGTATTATATTAATGAGAGACTCCTTATCAATGGACATGCTCTAATGTCCTAGATATATCCGATGGCACTAGATAATGAACACATATCAGTTTCTATTTGAGATTTAAAATATCTTCCTTGTGCCTAAACTTTAGAAAATGACCAATAAGCAAGGTTGAATACTTGAATGTTAAATTCAACACCCAATTCAAAAAGGAATTTGAAATCTGATAAATAATTGATAAAACAAAAGTATAGTTATGTGGGGCCTTTGCAATTACTATGTATGCTGACAACGACATCCGTTTCGGGGTTTTCGAAACTACCGGTTCGAGAATCATAACCGAAACAAACCAAAGAAATTCCTTACAAAACACCAAAATTTCCTTTTCTTTTGTTGGTTTATAAAAGCGTTTCTCCAAGAGACATTTCGTCTTCTACTTTCCCATTTTCTTTCTTTTTCTTGTTTAATCGAAACAAACCAAAAAATGAAGAACAACACAAACACTAATTTGATCCTTTTCCACCACCACACTCCTTTAACCTCAAAATCAGCTTCCGCCGTCGCCGCCGCGAATCACCACCGTCTCTTAT